CCTATTAGAGACCTGAAGGACCAGATACCCTATAGAATCATTCTATCACCCTATTAGAGACCTGAAGGACCAGATACCCTATAGAATCATTTTATCACCGCTTTAATGTGGTAAAGTGCTTTTGTTGATACTGCATCATCAGCCAGGGTTACACAGCTGCTTGTCTTTGTCCTCCAGGTCAAAGATCTCAGGGATCATCAGCTGGACAACCGCATGGAGTCCTTCTTTCTCGCTGAAACCATCAAATACCTCTACTTGCTGTTTGACCCCACCCACTTCCTTCATGGCGCAGGAATGGAGGGGGAGGGTTCCTGGGAGGAGGGGGGGGGCAGCGGCCAGTGTGTTTTAGGGGCGGGGGGCTTTATCTTCAACACAGAGGCTCATCCTCTCGACCCAGCGGCACTCCACTGTTGCAGCCTTCATAACCAAGAGCACCAGGAGCTCCAGGATATCCTGCTCAGCCTGACGCAGCCCGATGGCCAATCGGCGCGGCCCGTCAGTCAGACCCAGGACCCCCCCAGCCAATCAGAAAGCATTGCTCTGAAGCCGGGTGAGAAGAAGGCTCGGCCTGTGCTGTCCTGCCCCGTACAGCCGTTCAGTGCCCGGCTGTCCGTTTTGGGGCAGGTGTTCTCTGATTTACCTGAAGAAGGATAACTGGCGACATGTACCTCACCCTGAAAGGTTGTGGTTAAGGGCCCCGCAGGGTGAAAGGCATCTGCACCGACCTGAACCGTCCTCAGGAAGTCAAATGTTTATTTCTGGGCCTTTGATTAAAGGATTATTTTTATTTCTGTTTGGCTGATTTTTGCTTGTAACCTCACAAAGGGTTAGGGTTAGGAGATTGTTTTGTATGAATCCAGATCTGCTGGGTTTAGAACCAGGACTGAAGAGCCAACCACTAGGCCTTAGTGTCTGAATCAAACCAAAGTTTTCCTGCAGATTTTAATCCAAATGTTTAGATTTGATGCTGAGATTTTCACACTGGTGAATTGAAATCAAATAAAAAGCTTTTGCTGAGAGGAGCAATGGCTCACTGGGAGTAAATCTGAGCTTGTAGCAGCAGTAGCTTGATTTGGCCACCAGAGGGAGGCATTTTTCTACAATCGTGCGAAGGTGAGCAATAAAGTTCCAGCAGGTTTTCTACCCAAATACAGAACTGGGCTGGATAGATGTAGCAGGAGTTTTGATCTGGTCTATGAGAAAAATTAAAACCATTTTCTAGATCAAACTGCTGATCTGTTTTATTGAGGCAACCAAACCTTTTCATGTCCAAAATATTCATCTCTTCTTTGCTTCAAAAAATTGTCTGATGTTAATCAGGACAAAATGTGATTGAAAAGTTTGCATCATGGGAGGAAAAATGGACAGAAATCAAATCTGTCTGCTCAGCCTTTTTTCATCTAAATGAACAGATGAGTTTTAGGTCTTGATAGATGTAAGAATTTTCCATGTTTTCCTCTTGCCTGTTACTAAATTTCAGCTTTCTCCAACTGCAGCAGTTCTTCAGCATTTGGTAAACATTACGTTTCCTGGGTAACTGGAACTGAGCCCCCCACCCAGGATCGGACCTCTTTACTCTAAAGAACAGTAGAACCAGATGTGGTCTCAGCTGCTCTGTCAGGAAATCACTGGCTGTGTAGATTCCCCTTCAGGTGAGCATTAAAGCTGCTGAACCTGGAGATGGTTTCATGCCTGGACACTGAACTGTCTGCTGGAGATTTTGAACCAAACAGTTCTGGTGATGCTTGTCAGTCCAGGAAATCTAGTTCCATTTTCAGGAGGAGTTGGAAAGAGAGCAGCACAGCCTCTTTTGGAGTGAAAACATTCCTGCTCATTGTAACCACTGAGAACCCACTGGTTCCACAAACAGAGACAATAAACTCCTCCACCGTTTGTCTTTAGTCATCTAAAGCTGCCTTTCTATTCCACAAACTTTCTTCAAACTTTGTTGGTGTCCAAAACCCAATTTCCCTAAATCACAGCTTGATAATTGGTTTCACAAGACAGCTGATCATCCTCTGGTCTGTCGTCTTCTGTGGCTTTTTACACCAATAGTTCTTCATGTTTCCACTAAACTTCTGGAAAGACGAAAAAACTGTTTTATCCTGAAAACCTTTTATTGAGGTTTTTTAAAGCTAGCATATTTCCATGAAGCTAATTTATTTTCATATTTATATGTTTACCATTTAATGGCAAACGGAAGATTTTGGATGTTCAGAGTTTAAATGCTAACTTTGGAGCCTCCCAGTTTTACTGTTTCCAGGTCCAGAATGATTACATATTTGTTCATTGTTAATTAGTTTTAAAAAGTGAGACAAAGAGCTTTAGTGTTAGAACTTGGAGCTACCAGAGTCCTGATGCAGCCAGCAGAGAAGAATCCAGGTCCATTTGAGGTATGGAGTTGCTTCAGCCCCAAATTGATTTGCTTCCCAGTTCCATAAAGAACTGGACCAAGGCAATCTCCAGTGAGAACTTCTTCCAGCATTCAGGAGGGCTTTGGTGATGACCTGAAGGTGATCAAACATGGTGGACGTTGGTGCAAACGATTAGAGAGTGAATTAAGGGCATTAAAGTTCAAAGGTAATTAGAACAGGGCTAAACCACCATCTCTGTTAGGAACAAGTGAAGAAGGACCAGGGTAATACGTAAAGGGTTTGACCATGATGCCCAGAAACACAACAGATCAGAACAGGACTGTCTGTTGGAGAGATGAAGGTAGTGCCTTCAGCTCCCAAAGCATCTGGAGTCGAATGTTAGTCCATTGTTCCAGCAGAGGACTTTTTTTTTCTGCCACCATGCCAGATTTCTGGCATACAGCAATTTAGCATTTTTTTCCTTGGGAGCGAAAAATAAACCTACACCAAGTCTCATACTAACTGGTATGATGACGCTATTTAGGTGCTCATCAGAATGTATTATAACCCAATCACAGGTTGGGTCAAGCTACAGCCAAGCTAGACGACGGTGATGAATAGTGGCTTGTAAACATTAGAAACTGCAGAGTTTGTGAAGCCTGGAGAAAACGTCCACATTGAGAAAGGACTTAACAATAAATGGCACCAGACAGGGATAGAAGACCTTAAACGTGACAGACAGCCTTATGGTAAAAGAACTGAGGGAGTCAGGTACGCTACTCTTGTACAGTATGCTTGTGGATACTGATATATGGATATAGCAGCGAAAAAGGGTTGTCACGAATCTGAATCTGCAGGTTTACTAGTGGTTCCTAGAATTTCTAAAAGTAGAATGGGAGGCAGATCTTTTAGTTCTCAGGCTCCTCTCCTGTGGAACCAACTACCAGTTTTAGTCCGTGAGGCAGACACCC